AACGGTAAGAATTTAGTGAAAAGGCTTTTATGCTGTTTTCGGGGACACGAGTCTTTTTCGTAGTTATCTTTTATGAAGATAATCATATTAAGTACTTTTCAATTTTCCTTTAGGCTTCGTTTATCTTTCCACACATTGAAGACGAATTGTAAAGTACTTAAAACACAAATAGTTTTTCATTTGAATACCTTGCGAAAAAATTTGTGCAATAAATTAGCTGTTGGTTTAAATTCACATATGAGAAATTCAGTTCAAATGCCATACATAAATTTCAGCTTTCATAACAAGTAATGTTTTGACGTCCCAATCTCAGATATCAGAATCAGCTACATCTTTTAAAAAATCTTAGCAGAAGCATTTCGGAGATAATGCTATTATTCTAAGGTTAATTAAAAAGTCATTAAATTACTTTTACTCCGCGGTAAAGATATTCGTCGTCTTCGGTAAAATTTTTGAGTCCAACGAATCGATCAGAGTCGCTTAGTTGACATTTAAATCTCTTCTTATTTTTACTGGGGCCAAAGTTGTATGACATACATGATTCTTCTTCCACACATTGCAGTCGACAAGAACCCTCTGAATCCACTTCTATTTCTCTAATAACACTTCCATTGAGGCGTCTTCCTCTTATTTCTCTGGCGAAGTTAACCGCTTTGAAGTTTGGTGTTATCATTCGAATGTCTCCGTTTGTGAACGAAATCAACAAGAAGCTCAAGTTTAAAAGGAATTGTACCTTGACGCCTTCCATCTCGAACGAACCCTCAACTTGACGAGTTGTACACCTCTGATAAAGTTTCTTTATCTTGCGAAAAGTAAGAAATAAAATATTAATGACATTACTCGCCTTTTCAAATGAAAAACTTGCATAATTTTCCTGATTTACTGTATTCAATTTTGTCAACAATGCTGTACCTCGTTACGTATAGTTTTGTTAATCACTTAAGAGGAACTATAGATACATGCGTTTCTTCTATTTAACCTTTAGGTTACTTCACACCTTGAGAGGCGGAAAAAATCGTTTTTTCTTTTATTGGACCAAATTGAAGTTAGACATTTTACCTAAGGTTTGCAAAAAGAAAAATATTAAAATCCCAAAAAGCGTCCAATTTATTTAGGAAAACTTATTTTTAAGTTTAAGTAAAAGTTAATAAATTAGGAGGGTGTCATAATCTCGTAAATGGGCGAACCTCCTCAGGGAATCTTCGCGGCAATTTCATGTTACGTGAAAGTTCTCTGCTAGTGGAAAGTCTTTTCTCATAGATAAAAAACAGAACTCAAAATTAGAGAAGAGTTCCTGGGTAAAGAAAAAGAAAAAAAAACAGGCCTAAAGAAGAAAGAAAAGGCACCAATTTATCAGTAAAAAATACCAGTCCTAGCACTCCTCTGTACGCTGGCTGCCAAATTACGAACAAAGAAGTCGCCATCAAATCTACCTTTGTCCTACATAAGGTTAAAAACCAAGTTTCCTTTCAATTGGCAAGTATCGGCCTTGATACAGAATATAGGCAATCGCCTCGAATCGTATGAAATCGTGAATAAACTTACCCGAGGGAACTCATTTCTGTCTGTTTTTCTTTTCAACAGTTTCTCTAGCTTTACCTTTTTTGCCGAGGGTCTTTTCTTTGCCAATTTTGCCCATTACTTAACGTCGAGCAGAGCGAGACAAAAAAAACTTGACTGCTATGCGATACTTTCGTCATTGACACCAGGAGGTCCCGTCTTCCCACTGTCTTCCCATTGGTTCGCGGTTTTAGGAGGCGAGATAATCTCCTGTGTGGTGCTAGTTGTTTACAAACCTTTAGGAGCTAAAATCTCGCATTTGATTTCGAGAGGAATAGAGCAACTTTGAGCGCATTTATAGGGTATGTAGATTTGACCGATTTTCGTGAAATTTCGCCAGGGATAATGACGAACCAAAGTGTCAGGAAATTTTGATAATTGAAATGTTTTTCAAGTTGTGTCCATTTACGCAACACGTTTCGCATATTTTACGCTATTCTAACTCTTTAGATGCGGATATCTAGACAACCAATCAGAATATCGGAAAAGATTGACACAGTTTTTTTGCTTGATGCCTTGTGAATAAGATGTGCAGTCATTTTGCTCGTGCTGTGGGATCCAATACCCGATAGATTCAACAGAAGGACCCTCGGTCGTTTCACGCCTTACCAGCTCCTGCTACTCACTAAATGAAAAAATCGTCTAAATTACATTTTTATCGTAAACTGCAGTTAATAAGCTTTCTTTTGATGTATTGTCTGTTAAGGTCTTGTTGAAACTAGCGCGCGTACGAATTTTTTCCCGAAGGACACCTGCGAAAGCGGGAACTAAATTCTTGACGTTGCACACTGTGACATATAAAATATTGATGGGGCAATTTTTTTTTCTTAAGAGAAAAGTTAAGCTATCCATGGTTTTAAGAATGCATTAATATTTTGCCGCAGTGAGTAAAATTTTTGTGAAAGACTTTGTTTTTCTTTTCTTGTGTATTGTGAAGAATGAATTATTCCCTTTCAAAATTTACATAAATTAGTTATTTGTGGTGTATAAAATCTCTAAATTGAAAATCTTGTTTCGACAAAAACAAGTTATGATTGATAGAAGGTTGACGTATTGTACCTAACAAACAATCAAATGAGATAAATTAGTAGAATGGGTTTATGTGCAGAAAGTGGAGCTCCGTTATTGGTGAGAACACGGTGAAGAGAAAAACGCGAATAACTTAGTAGAATCAAAAGCGTTCGCTGATACCTGTGGGATTAAGATTGCCAATTTGAAAGATAAACTTTTGTTCAAG